GGAGCATGCTTCATTGTGTGAGACAGTCCACGTTCATGTATACGCGCGTCCCGAGAATGCCACATATCTCTCTTCCTCCTTATACTGCCTTCAAGGTCAAGGGCATGATTGTTGCAGGGAAAATACATACTTGAAGGTAATCTCTGTTTGGCAGACATACCTCCTCGGTGTGTGTGTTTCTGGGAACGGATATACATTAAACAACTAACGGTCTGTATCTGCGTGGGAAACATACATACCGGAATATTGTGGGTAGGTATGTTTCTGCGAACCATACATATTTCAAACTCACGGGTATGCATGTTTCTCAGACCACGTACATACGGTATATATGTTTGTGGGACACAGACATACCTGGATAATAATGAGTATGTATGTTTGCGGGAAACCTGCATACCGAGACACTCATGCGTATGTATCTTCCTGGGAAACATACATACCTCAAACTGGGAGCCCTGCGAAACACACAGACCTCGCTTTTTACCTGATGCTATGTCTCCGAGGAACACTCATACCCGTGCTTTTGAGGTCTGTACGTTCGGACAATACATACATACATACATGCCTCTTCTTTTCTAGGTATATATTTTTCCCCACACATCCATACATACCATACATACCTCTAATTTTCTAGGTATGTCTGTTTCCCCGGACATACATACATACTGGGTATGTACGACTCTTCTATGTATCCGAGAAACGTACATACCCGTGCTTTTGAGGTATGTACGTTTGGACCATGCATACATACATACATACATACATACATACATACATACATACCTCTTCTTGTCTAGGTATGTATGTTTCCCCAGACATACATACATACCAGACATTCCTGTCATTTTCTAGGTATGTATGTTTCCCCGGACATACATACATACTGGGTATGCTTTGAAGGTATGTACCTTTGGACCATGCATACATACATACATACATACCTCTTCTTGTCTCGGTATGTATGTTTCCCCAAACATACATACATACCATACCTACCTCTCATTTTCTAGGTATGTATGTTCCCCAGAAACATACATACCCCTGATTTTGAGGTATGTACCTTTGGACCTTACATACATACGTACATACATACCTAGATGGGGGGGAGGCAGGGGATGCCTGCTAGATACCTACTAACCTCCGAAAACAAGGTATGTATGTTACCCCCCTGGGGTTCTTACTCCGGAGATGGGTCGGTTTAGGGGTCAGAACGTCCATGGCATCGAATCGAAACGTCCGTGGTCGTCCGTTCGTCGTGGCCAGGTTTCAAGTGTCTGAGCTCGCTGGCCATCCCCAGCTCGAGTGGCTTTAATCCCAGAGGGAGGCTCGGCGTGGAGATCGTCTCGGACGTGTGTTGGATGCTATTTACATGCCCCAAAAAGGGATCCAGCCGTACCGAACCTCAGGTATGGTGAGGACGGAGACACTCTCGTGTAGGTTTTGAGGGTCCAGTCGTACCTTCTGACTAGGGATGAGCATGGCTTTTTGACGCGCCTGTTGTCTTTCAGTGGTATTTTTTTTTGAAAAAGGTGCTTCAAAAAAGTAAGCAGAGAGACAGAGAGGGAACATGAGGGAATAGAAAAGCAACAGCGAGAAAAAGCAAATCCCCGACATGCGTGACGGTGTGTACTTCGCTCTTAGAGTTACACAACCGTTCAGCTGAGCTGGTGGATGCCAGTCTAGCCGCCTTCGGTGTGTTCTTCGAAAAAGCACCGAGGAACCTGGTGACCTTGGCGTGGCTCATTTCGCCTTCGGAGAAGATGACCGAGCCCCGCGTGCGAACGGCGAAGAAGAAGGCATGGATGTGGCTCGGCGCTTCTGCAGCGCCACGCAGCTGGAGGGCGGGATGTGGAGAAGGTTAGGTTTGGCACCTCCCAATGAATAGAATCTGAGAGACAATGCTATGTGTTGCACATGTCAAGAGCGGGCCACCTTAGAGTCGAGTCTCTTTTTTCTTCGCGGGCCACCTTAGAGTTGTGTCGTAGAGTTGGCCGACGATTTTGCGATTGCAGCAGTGTCCTTCATGTTCCCGAACTGCAGCAGGGTTTTCCTGTAGATTGGCTGCAGAATGACCGAGTCCCTGGGTGAACTTGGACCAGTCAGGACTGCTGACTTCTTTGATGCGGTGCCCTGCAGATCCACTTATGACCGAACCAGGTACGGTGAGCAGTGAGACTATTTACGGCTTGGCGCCTGGGGAGGTGGCCCAGTCGTACCGAACCTGAGAAGGTGGATCCATGTGGATCCCTAGATTGACATCCCAAGGATCCACTTAAATCGTGCGGGGGGCAGCCCATGCCCTCCACCAGTGTGTGTTCCAAGATGAGTCACGAGTAGAACTACTCGTCTCGTTTCTAAGCCGGCTGAGGTTGTATCAGAATGGCCAGAAGGAGTAGCTTGGTGTCAGAGAGTCGGGGTCTCACACTCGGTTCACCTCGCTTTCTTCACCGGGTTCTTTGGCCCAACCGGACGGCCGGCACAGTGGTTGTGCCGCTTCCATCGTTGGGTCACTGGGGTCCAAGTGGTTCGGCGGAAGAACAAGTCGTCCAAGTGTATAGGATGAGTTCCGTGGCCATTGGGATTGCCGATACCTGAAGAAGAAACAACAACACCTGATCTCCAATGAGAGGGGCCAACTTCAAGACGGTGGACAGACGATTTGTGAAGGCAAATGCATCTCACTCAAGATACTCAAGTTTGGACCATTCTTGTTTGTGCCACCGTTTGCTTTGTTGAAACCTACCCAGGAAAAGTGGATAACCTGCAGGTCACCTTGTTTTGGGGATCTGTTTTGGGGGCACCCCACTACATATGAAATCATATGAACAGATGAAAGGTAGTAAGTATCCTCATTAAGTATACGATGTATACGCTTATATAGTCTTATGAATATAACAATAGATAAAATAAGTATTCATATAAATATATATATTATACCTATATAATATAGAACCCATTTGTCGTTTGCTTCGACAGGAAAAGACAATCTTTTGGGTGGTTTGTGGTCCAAAATAGAGGTCACAAACAGGTTCTATAGGTGTATATATACCAGGACCCACAAGGGGTGGCTAATGCACACCCCTTAACCTCCAAGGAGCTATAATTAGACACCCCTGGCCCGGAATTCCCCGGTATATAACCGTTCTTTCTTTTCCCCTTGATGTCTGGGCGAAACGGGAGTCGGGCAACCCTTGGTTTCAAGAAGGCCCCGGCTATCGATGAGGGCCCCGACGGCCAGGAGCGTTTGTTCCGCCCGTTTCGACGGCCCAACGCACTTGCTTAGACTGACCTCGCAGTGTTCCATGGTCCTTCCCCCCCCAAAAGTATAGAAGAAGCAGGTCCGGCTTTGGAAAGGTTTTTGTGATGTTTGAGGGAGTGTGGTGGAGTTTTGGGGGTAGACTATGACGGCCAAAGCTGGAGGTGCTCAAAGGGTTGAGAGACCAACATATGAGAGGATTCAACACCTCTGGATGCCGGGCCAATCCTGGGCCGGTTCAACATGCAGGTGCTGGTACTTGCAGCAGGTGGCATCCAACGTTGATGCCAGCTTGTTGGAGAAGAGGCCCGGACAGGGCAGGGAGGGCGGCCTGGTCCTGGTTGTTGACTCCATGTTTGATCTAAGAATGTCCAAGAACATGTACTACTTGATACTTGGGAGAGATTGGCAGGGTGATGGCCCGGTGGCCAGGCCAAAAGAGGAAACCCATCGTTCACACCTTGGACCACGGAACGGAGGGCTTTTCGCGGCCACGGCGAGTCGAGATGGAGAGGTGATGACGGACACCGGGGACGTGTCAGGGCGACAAGAAGCACACGGCCAACCGGGCACGGCGAAGCGGCACAGGAAGCAGAAGAGTCACACGCGCAGAGTAGAAGCAACGGATGAAGCAACATCTTGCCGCCAGGAACCAAGAAATGGCGTTCGCAAGTCAAGAGCATCACGTCTCGAACACGATGGAAACGATGTGAAATGACCAAGGACGTTGGAACATCGCCAGAACTCGAGTTCGGATGTGCCTGTGGCCCACCCCGGCGGGTCCTCCTTTTCGGGCACGACTGGCCGTGTCCGTTTCGTGGACACGTCGGGAACATGGGCTGAGCCATTGGGGGATTGACCCCGGCCTCGTCTTTTTGTTGTCTGTTCTTTCGCTGCGTGAGATGGCAGATATCCGGTTGGATCAGAAGCTGAAGCAAAGAAAAGAACCCTGAACTGAACCATATCATCACATGAAGTGTCGAACATAGTGACGAACAGTTGCCAGTTACAGTGAATGCGTCAAGGAAACGTGCACTGTCTCGGCTACGCAAGGAGGGAGGTTTCAGGGGAAGGGGTCCCTGACAGTGACGAGCATGCCAGACTCAGAACTGGCGGCGTTGCAATACCAAGTTTTTTCCAAAGCCCGCGAAGAAGTGCCGGCACGCGACTCACTGACTCAGTCATTATTCTCATTCACGCGGCTTCACGCGGCTTCACTCATTAACCATCACACTACACTTCGACACATCGACAAACAGCTGCCGCACACTTCACACAGAGACACCGCAGCATCAGGAGCCATCATTTGAACGATGTTCATTACTTTTCTCACCAGTCGCATCACACATGTTCTTATACCAGGACCCCCTAAGGGGTGTCTAATTATAGCTCCTTAGAGGTTCAGGGACGTCCATTAGCCACCCCTTAAGGGGGCCCTGGTATGTTCTTATGTTTTACTTTGAAACTTTCACCCCCAGCTCTGCCGCAGCATTGCCTGTATAACTGGATCTTCGAAACGGCACAAATAATTGCCTTTTCAGGAAAAAAATGCCGTTACGGCGTCTTTTTCCAAAGACGGCGTTTTTTGTTGTGACGAGGCGCACGCCGGCAGAAAGCAAAAAGAAACGGCGTCTTTAAGCGTCCAAACGGCGTCTTTGGGCGTCCAAACGGCGTCTTTCCCCGTCCATGGATTTTGTACAACCCATAAAACGGCATTGTTTTTTGATTACGGCGTCTTTTCACTAAAAAATGCCTCCGGCAAAAATTTGTGCCGTTTGAAGATCTATCATCACAGCATATCGCAGCTTTGCCGAAGATATCCGAAGAAGTATCCGAAGATGAAGTCCCAGGCTCCACAGCTACCTATAGGTGGTTTGGTGTTTGCAGTGAGACGCGGGCGGTTTGGTTTGTCCTTTGGTCTCGGTTGTTTTTCTCCAACCGCCCGCGTCGGTGGCCGTCGGGTGTGTCCCAGCCGCCCGAGGTGTCGGGCTTTCGTCCGAATCTTCCCGCATGTTTTGGCTGATGAGTGCCTGGCCTTTCCCCACAGCAACTCGGGGAACGCGGCGCCAGAAACCGCGGAGGTTGGTTCGGTTTTGGGCGGGGGGCCTTGGTCGGTGTGGAGTGGAACAGACCCGAAAAACGTTGGTGTTCTTCTGTGGGTTTCGTGGATGGAGCAAGGCCCAGACGACACAGAAATCCGAAGACCAAGGGGGAGGGATGATCTCTACCCTACTTCTGTAGATGCGAAATCTGCCTGGGACCCAGTCAGCCGGTTAACATTTAAAATTATGGTTGAGAAGGATATTGAATAATTTGGGTCAAAACGAAAGGAAAGAAAATTGAACATCATTTTTCAGGGGAACTGAAGGCGTCAGCACTGCCAAGGGTGCTCCCAAGAGGTGTCATGGGTGGTGATGATGATTGAATCTAGGTCCAGGCGGCCGTATGTGGCTGTGGGTCAACTCCCGGAAACGTACACCTTGGTAGGTTGACCCTCTTAGTAGTCTATTCAGTTCATTTTCCGTGGTCAACCAGGTCCCCCAGTTGAACACAGCCATGTTACGTTGACTTCCCCATGTGACGGTTGTCAGAGCAAAGGCCGGAAGTGTTCTCACAACTGCCTTCTCAGTGTACCGTGACGAGTGTCCCTGATGACCTTTTTTCTGCTTTGGCAACTTGGAAGGTCTATTGGACTTAAAGGAAATGCCCTTTGCAGATCCAGCTTCGCGCTTCGCCTGTTTGTAAGGTATGATTCCTTTGCAGATGGGTTCGAAGAATTGTGGCCACCTCTTGGTCGCGAACGGCCCCTGCAACACTACCTTGGAACAGTACTTCCTCGAGTGCCAAGACAACAGAGGCTTATTGAGAACGTCCAAACTGGGGGAGTAGAGGCCAGAGAGCTTCAGAGTACAAAGGATGAAACCGCTAAGTTTCTATGTGTGCACACCACGCAATCGGGTTAAAGAGCCGGAACTTCCGGGAAAGAAACTGTGCTGTGTGCTTCAGTCGCCAAGGAAGGCACTGTACGGCGGTTGCACGGTGATAGAACTTCGGGACCGCCGGAGCTTAAGCAGTGTGGTCACACATTCGGGGTTCTTACGGTAGTTGTTAAGCACCCATCTCTCTCTCTCTCTCTCCTTTAGAGTGAAACCAGAAGTTCAAAAACACATCCATCTTATGGATCTTGCTCACGGTGGTGCCACGCATGGCCTGGCTTCACAGACCTGCCAAAAGTGTTTTAACTTTCGTCCACTCGCAGAGGTAGTAGCCTGTTGAGGCCTTTCAGCTTGCCACACACGCATCAGGTCGTTCCTACTCAGGTCGCTTTTTTGGCTCTCTTGCTGACCAACTGGGCTGGTGGCAGTTGGTCGTACTCACATCATATCTCTAGTGCGTGTTGGACATTAGATGATTTATGATGGTTTTGTAGATCTATTGAGAATAAGCAGGCTGCCGCAAGATGGATTGGAAGAAGGCAAGTTGACTAACCCCACGCAAGTAAGGGGTCTCCCTTCGCATTGCGCCTATACAAGTTCAGTGGCGCCGCTGACTGTGAGTCTCATCATGTCTGGCATTTCCTGGTGTTCCTCGAATCATGACCTGGGGGTTCAACTCCATGAGGAAAGGCTTGTTGTCGATGGCCCCGCTTCATCATCATCATCATCATCATCATCA